GAATAGCTATCCTCCAAACCCAGAAGATCCAAGTTCAAGTGTCACATCTGACATATACCAGCTATTTGACCCTGGGTAAGTCACCGAACCTCTTAATGCTCTAGCTCAATGGTGTCAAAACTCAAAATAGAAATGGGGGCCACCAATCCATCCATAAGGATCTTTTTAAGACTGCTTAGTTTTAAAATGTAATATTATCTATATTTTATTGTATTTTTATTTATTTCCTAAATATTTCCCATTTGCATTGTAACCTGGTTTGGCAGACTGGGCACCTGACCCATGCCTTAGACACTTCTGTTCCAGCCAACTCAGACTATCAATTTCGGAGAAGGTGCTGACCTGTCCAGATCTAGTCCCTATCCCTGTGTAGCAGTATCAGTAGTATCAGAATCAGGATAGCAGAGGCACATTCGATTAGCAATTCATCCTAAAGAAGGATTACATTTTCTTTGCATTCATACAAAAACAATTTCAAAAAGATATTTGTTGACAAGAAAAAAAACTCATGATTAATAGAATAGTAAATTAATTCCCAGAAGGAAAAAAAGTGGATTCTATAGAAAAGAATTATAGACTGGATGTCTGGTGACCCGGATGCTTGGTGACCCAGATGCCTGAGCTGTCTCTTGGTCACATGACTGACCCTTTATTTTCTCACTGGTAAAATGAAAATAATTATCTTTGCCCCTTCCCAGGTCTTAAGGATGTTTGGTAGCTTGAGTGAGGTTACATCTATGAAACTGCTTTAGTGAAAGTCAATCCTAATTCTGAAGAGAGTGTGTTTTCCTATCAGCCAAGCACTGCTAGGCTGTTAATGTCTGAGTTGCTAGTGATTTCACCTTAATATGAAACAAATACAGCAACTGGACAGTTTCTAAAATACCTCATACCTCTAATACTGTTGATACCAGCTTCTTGACAGCCATTGCTTCTGATTGATTACTTTTACATATGGTGTTCTGCATAAATAATCCTAACTAAAGAAATTACCGAACTAAGGGGCTTTTTTGGTTTGTATGTCCAAAGCATTCCCAAGGAAGCACACTCCTCAAAGGGTTAGCACAAATGTTGGTGTGCATTTGGCTTAGTGAGAGAAGATGCACCCTGCTGCTCCATGCCAGGGCAATGCCTCAGTACCAGTGCAGAGTCACACGTGGGCAGAGATGGTGGGTGAGGCACAGGGTGTGCCAGCAAATTAAATCAGAGAGCCTGCTCTTCCTGGATTGTCTGTCTTCTAGACATCCCCTAATAGAGCCTTTGCTCTGCAGCTGTTGCTAAGATAGGGCAGAAGAACTCATCTGCTGACAGGATCTGTGTTCACCAGGAGCTAAGCAGTGATTCTACCCTTTCAAGGGAGACTAAATGAGGAAGTCTTTATTGGACATTGCTACAGCCCTCTAAAATAAGAAGGGAAGAAGCAGGCATATCATAAGCATCTCACATAGGACCCAAAATCCAGAGGGGAAGGAACCTGAGATGTCATCTAGTTCAACCCTCCTTATTTGACATATGAGGAAACTGAAACCTGGAGATTAAGTGCCTGGACCAGGGACACATAGATAGGAAGTGTCAGAGGTGAGATTTGAACCCAGTCCTCCGACTAAAGAGTCAAGGTTCTTTTCCCTGTAGCAAACAATGAGATTCCCTGTTGTATTTCCCCTAATTTGTGTGTGATCCTTATCCCTTGATGCCAATATGAGAAAAATAATACTGATGGGAGCAACTGTGGGTAGGAGCCAATGATGATCCTCTAAGAAGGCTTTCCTGATTCCCTGCTTTGTTAGTTTCCCTCTCCAAATCACCATTGATTTGTTTTGTATCGCCTAGACTAGTATACTTATCTATAAATACACTGTAACCTCTTAGTAGAATGTATGTTCCTAGAGAGCAAGATTATCTCATTTTTATATTTTTTACCCTCAGTGTCTAACACAGTGCTGGGTAGAAAGCAAGCACTTAATAAATGCTTATTAATTGACATTCTGATGCTTTTTTTTTTTCATTTAAAAAGTTAAAAACTACCTATACCTGGGCCTTATAGGAGCTTAACTGGGCCTTGTCTAATTATGTACCTGATACTCTCACCTGTGGCTCCAAGAAGCTGCGGCTTGCACATCAGTCACATCCTGGCAAACCATCTCAGCAGATGGGCTAAACCAGGTTAAGGGTAACCCAACAGACCTCAACCCTGTTGGAGAGTTAGGGAGGTGTCTACCCTATGCATATGAAGATTTCCCCCAGTGGAATGGGCAGATGAGAACAATTTGTTCCGACGGCCATAAAGGCAGCAGAAGCAGGTGCTGTGGAGTGCTTAGAGCTTGGTCAGACGTTGAAGACACCAAGGTCATCGACTGCATCCCAGGTCATCATGCAGACACTGGACTTTGATGATTCAGTAAGAGAGAGTGAAGCTGATGACTTTGTGTAACTCTGTTTCACTTAAATCTAATTCACATATGAGTCAAGACATCACTCCATGTCATTGGTCCTCTTCGAAATGAAGGACAAACACTGATATTGATACTGACTCATTTATATAGGTTTATTTACATTCTGGCAAAGATGCTCCAGAACAGAACCACGGTCTTCTGGGAGATCAATCTACCAATCAACAAGAATTTTAAAAACCTGCCGTGAACCAAGCACTACGCTAGGCACTGAATGTAAAGACAAAAATGAAATGTCCTTGCCCTCAAGGATCTTACATCCTAACAGAATATAAGAATGTAGGAGATATAGGGAGCCCAGGATACAATCCTGGGGAGCCCAGGCTTTCTGAAATGACCCACATGTTTTAATCTCTTAGGCTCAGGAGATTTACATTCTACAAAATGGTGACTGGCTTGTCTCTCCTTTTTGTTTTAGCTGACACCATAACCCTTTCAAGACATAATTAGAAATAAATATATAAAGATTGTATTTCAGAATGAAATCTATGAGAGGACATAAACATTTCATGGCTCAGCTCCCTTGGCTTTCTGTAGTTTCTTAATATGCTACAATGAAAAAAAAAGATATATAGTAAAATTAGATGTATCTAAGAGAATCGTAACAGAATGATCCTGAATGAATGAATGAATTTCTAGAATGAATAAATGAGTGACTAAATTACTCCTCCCCTCCATCCTTGGTTTCTGACTGACTGACTAGACTCACTAAGCCTGGTATTTAATCCGAGAATAATTTTGATAATTTTTTCAGAGTAAGAAAAGTGAAGAAAACATTATTGGTCTGTGTCCATGGTTTGTCTCTGCCTCTGTCCCTAACCTCAGCATCCCACTGGCATCACTTTTCAGAAGCTTTAGAATCTCTAGGCTCTGCCCAGTGGCCTGGCACCATTGACATTTGCTTAATTTCTTCTTGACCCTGGTCAGAGATGAAGTCAGGTAACAAGATTTGGCATTGCTTAAGTCAAGTTCTTAGGCGCTTGGGGATTTGTTTCATGAGGGAGTCTTATTCCCATAAAGGGTAGGAGCTAACTTACAGTCTGAAATTTAACATTCAGCGTGTCGCCATTCATTAAAATTAGCAAAAATATTTGTAGAAATATCTTATTTATCCATCCCTTCCTCTCTGTTCCCATATCCCTTTATGCTTGGATTGTGCCAGCAGTCTCTTGGTTACAGTCAAATATATTCTGTATGAACCACATAGTTATAAATTAGCTTCTATTGTTCTCTTATTGTTTCATGTGTGTTAATTTTGTCTCCTTCACTAGATTACAAATTCTCTGAGGGCAAGGATCTGTGATTTACATATTTTTTATTCCCACAACCAACCGTTAATGCTGTGCACACAAAAAATACTTATTAAATGTTAGTTGATGGATTCAATAATTAAGGTGTACTGTTTTGTTGTTGTTTTAGTCGTTTTTAGTCATGTCTGACTCTTCATGATCTCTTTTGGGGTTTTCTTGGCAAAGATATTGGAGTGGTTTGCCATTTCCTTCTCCAGCTTTTTTTTTTGCAAATGAGGAAACTGAGGCAAACAGAGTTAAGTGACTTGCCCGGGGTCACCCAGCAAATAAGTGCCTGAGGCTGGATTTGAACTCAGGTCTTCCTGACTTCAGGCCTGGTGCTCTATCCCAGTGCCACCTAGCTGCCCTCAAAAATATTAAAAGTACATTGCCTTCTCTGAGAATCAAGCTTAGGACCTTCAGATTATGAGACTCATGTGCTGCACTACTGACCTAAGAAGGTTTTTGTTATTGTTGTTTAGTCACATCTGATTCTTTGTGACCCCATTTGGGGTTTTCTTGGTGAAGATAATGGAGTGGTTTGCCGTTTCCTTCAGCTCATTTTACAGATGAGGAAACTAAGGCAAACAGGATGAAGTAACATGCCCAGGGTCACACAGTATCTGAGGACAAATTTGAACTCATCAAGGTAACTCTTCCTGACTCCAGGTCTGGTGCTGTACCCACTGCACCACTCAGCTATTCACCCTAAAGTATACTATGCTAGTATTAATAATTATGGCTGACATTTAGAGAACACTTTAAAGTTTGGAAAGCACTTTATATACATTTCCTCACTGGTACCTCACAATAAGTCTATCAAGTTTAGATTGCAGGTTATTATTATTCCTATTTTACAAATGAGGAAACTGAGGTAGAGTGCAATTAAGAGCTTTTGCCATTAGCCACACAGCTAATAATAGAGGAAGCATTTGAACCCAAATCATCCTATCATCCTGTCTTCAAGTCCAGCCCTTTATATTGTACCATGCTGATATGTGTAAAGTCAACAAACGGGTAAAGGAATACCTAACGTTCCTGAAGGAAAGACATGAATTTCTTGTTCAGACCACCAGAATGCTTCTGAAAGTGTGTGCATTAAATAATGGGTGTGTACTTGTGTCTTTTGTACAAGTGTCATTTTATTTAGGGATAGAAGCATGAACTGCATATGGCATATGCAAAGTATTTTTAAATTTCATAAAATCATGGAGAATTGACATCACTTTCATCCTCAAGATACTTAAAAAATTTCACTTACCTACAGGAATGGTCATCCCATGAATCTTATCTGCCCAGCCTGCATAATATCGAAGGGTTTTGATGACACCCTGCAAATCCACATAAAAAGCTTGAAGAAATGGTTTGCCACCATTTAATGATTCCATGGTCTATAGGGGGAAAAACAGAAATGAAAGAAAAATCAGCCTCTACTACATACACCATCCAGTGTTACATAGAAGTAAAAACAAAATAAAATAAAGGCTCTAACAGCAAAGATTGTATAATATCTGATCAACCAGACTTCCAGGGAAAACTAAAGATTTTTTTTGTAACTTCTAGTTTGCTTTTTATCAGACATTACATTTATGAAAAGTTCTATGATTTCCCACCAAAAAAAAATCGACATAACTTAGTTTTTCTCTTTTTCCTGAAAAAAAAATCCATATCCTTTTGACTTTTAAGCCAGAGATAACAAGTGTTTGAATGTGAGCCTAATTCTTAAGCCAGTGGACCCAATCACCACTCTGATATACAAACACAACATTTCTATAATCAATAGCAAAGATGATAATGTTATTTAAATTATGTTTTGTTAATAATGACAGCTAGCAGGAGGTGGGGGCTCAAAGACCCCATAAACAATTTGAATCTATTTAGAAGCATGAGGACAAGGGACTTTTAGGGAACTGAGGAAAATATAAAATGTTCTCTATGGTTGCCAAGGTCCCTGCTGTGAACAGAACTATCTGTGGTGCTCAGCTAATTCATTTATTAAAATCAAATAAACAAGATCTTCTCTAGGGAAGCACATACATTAACAACCAAAGGACTTAAGTTTCCCTCTGTCCACCATCATATTACCAACAATCTTTTTAGTAATTCCAGTCCTTGGTCTGTTGAATGAAAATAATTCAATCAAACAACTTCAAATGATCATCCCATAGCTAGTGTAAATGGCTGTAGGTTGGGTTAAACATAAAACAAAAGAGAGAATTTTTAAAATAAAGACCTTCAGATAAGAAAGATAAGATTGCAAGTCCAACCTTAATGACTGGCAAAATATGTCAGATTGACAGGTAACAGATAAGATAAAAACCTATGTATCTGCACAAATCCACAATTTCTTCTTAAGGATATTTTTATAGCACACATTATTGGGGAAAATTATTTTAGTGCTAACCAAGATGTAATGAAAATGTGCTCTGTCTTCATGTTTTCTCATTGGAATGAAAAATGCTATTACTGACACAGTAATTTATCCATTTACAATGTGGACAAGATGGTATTCATTTTAAATATCACATTACTTAGCTCTGCATGTGTTAGCTCACAAGAATTACAAGGATCAGGAGAAACCATATCCCATTGCTTATTAGTACTTCTTTATGTAGCCCTTGGGATGGGTTTAACATTGTCTAAGAATTAGCATGCTAATAACTAAGATCCACATAGTGAAGTGTAGAGCCACCAATTACATAGAACTTGTGAAGTCTCTGTTGACTATTGACACCGTCCAAACTCACTGTATAATTGCTAAGTTTGCACCACACTCTATGTTGTATTGACCTAAGCAGAGTCTTGGACCTTGCCATGGCTCAAGATCAGAGAAGTCAGCAGCATACTATTGGACTTCAATGGCTGTGAGATCTATTTCCTCTGAAAACTGATCAAATTCTTTGTATCTCTATTGCATTTGTTCCAAATTCTCTAATCCACAAGCAGGGATGATATAGGTGAGGTATGAAAAGGGATTTGAAAAAAGGAAGGACACAAGTTAGGAGGAAAATGACACTTCAGTCCTATACTAAAATCTAATTGTAGTAATCAAGCCAATAATCTTGGCTATAAACCTATCGCATGTGTAATTAACCTAATGCCAATTAGCCAATCTACAAAGAATCTACTTTTTACTTTTATGGAGTAAGAAGATCCCAGAGGGATTGTTGAAGTTTGAGACATGGGCAATGCTAATAATGTGAGTATGAGAAGCTAATAGTCCTGAAAGAATAGAGGTTCTGATCTGAGTAGATAATTCAGCCTGATAATCATCCTCTCACTCTATTATTGTTCAGTCATTTTTAGTCATGTCCAACTCTACATGACCCCATTTGGGGGTTTTCTTGGCAAAGATGCTGAAGTGGTTTGCCATTTCCTTCTCCAGATAATTTTGTATTTTATATCTTTGACTATACCAAAATACGGTCTGAAATGACCTTGACAAGCTGTATCAGTAGATTGAGGCTAACTCGATGAACATTAATACAGATAAATATAAAATCAGCACTTGGGTTCAAAGAATCAACTGTACAAATACAGGATGAGGAAGACATGCTAAGAAAGCAATTTGTGTGGGGAAAGACATAGAAAACCAAATGGAAGAGGTCATGTATGGTAATGTGTGTGTTTGTGTGTGTGTGTGAGAGAGAGAGAGAGAGAGAGAAAGAAAGAGAGAGAGAAATGCAATTTGATCAGACCATATTTGGAGTATGTCTTGAATTGGGGACAATTCATGGGCTGGACCGTATCCAGAGGATGATAACCTAGATGGAAAAGGAACTTGAAATAATGTCACATCAGAACTGGTTGAAGGAACTGGGGATATTTGAACCAGAGAAAAAAAGGCTTAGAGGGAATCACAATGTAGTTTTTAATTATGTAAAGGGGACTAATATTTGAAATTAGAGATTACACTTGTTCTGCTAGCTTCACCAGGGCAGAACTTAGAGCAATGGCTGTAAATCTTTGTTTAATATAGGGGGAAACATCTTAATAATCAGGGCTCTACAAATAACTTGAGACAAAGTCAATGCTCTACAATTGGGGAAACAACAATACAAATTGTGATCCCTTAACATATAGAATATCATTGTGCAGTAAGAAATGAATGACTATGAAGAGCAAAGAGAAGCATGTGAAGATTGCTATGAACTGATGAGAGTCAATTAAGCGGAATGAGGAATTAAGGAATTTTCTTTTCTTTGATGACAGAAGAAAGTCAGTATCAAAGGAAAGTATGGACTGATCTCATAGATTTGTCTTCTCCACGAAGAGTCTGCAGTTGGTTGATTATGATTGACTATCCATTTTCAAGGCCATTTCAGTCAATCATAGAACAAAAATGGCTCCCCTCTAATGACTCAAAGGTAGTATCAGCATTGCAGAATCTTAAACCTGGAAGAGACCTCAGACAGAATTCACCTAATTCAACTCCTACCCAAATCAGGAGTCTCATCTACAGCATATCTGGCAAGTATCCACTCAAACTCAACTTGATTAGCTCTAGCAATGGGAAGCTCACTACCTTTTGAGGCAGCCATTCCATTTTTGTATGGCACTGATTATAATTTTTTTTATTGTCTTCACATGGGATAAGCCTGTAAAACTCTCTTGATCCTCCTAGAAGGTCTGAAATTGTAACTTGGTACCTTATAACTAAGTGAGAAGAGAATTGCTAATCTGATCCCTCCTTCATCACCTGATTGCATACAGCCTTATTTGCCCCAGGGGAGCACCTCTCTTTCCCGGTGATCACCTAACACTCATTGCCTTTGTCCCAGACATCCAACTCCTTATCAGATTTTTGAAAAGACAGAAAAACTTTCAGGGAAATATGAGAAGAGAAATCTCCCTAGTGGATTTCAATATGAAAGGACATAGGATATTCTTGGGCTGCTTACTGAAAGAACTGCCCTGTCTCTTTCCACCAAGTCGGCTAACTTGTCCAGGAGACGCCCCCGCTCCGAAGCATCCATTCGTCTCCACACGGAGCCCAGAGAAAAAGCCAGGCGAGCAGCTCTCACGGCTTTGTCTATGTCAGCCTGTCAGAGAGAAAGAGACACAATTGCACTGAAGTTCCCCTTTACGACATAAGACCCCACATTAAGGAAGGGTAATCTAGTTTCCCGAGAAATATATTGACTGCTAGCAAGGGCACTACCAAGAGGTTCTAGACCAGTGTTTATAAACTGTTAGTATATAAATAGGCATCAGTTTATATATTTAATTCCAGAAACCTTTAATTCCATAAACTGAAACCCCTGACTCTTTCTCCCTACATTGGATTCCTCTCACACCCAGCTCCCTCCTTCCTTCTGGCTCCCTTGGGATGATAAAAGCCAGGGTTTAGAGGGAAAATTGGTCCGTAGTAGATAATTTCAGCCTACCAATCCACAGTGTAGTCTAAATTGACAGACACTACACTTGGGAACATTCTTGGTCCTCTATTTTTTGGAGGTAGTTATCTCACAGGAAGTATTCTTTCAGCAAAGTCATTACCTTATCTGCTTCTTGAACTTCACACAACTGCTCCCCAGTGGCTGGATTGTAGACTGGAAATACACGGCCACTTTCTGAGTTCTGCCATTCATTGTTGATGAAAATCTAGAAGGACAAATATTTTTATAATATTTATGAAACTGCTATTAAGATGATTGCTTCATGTGCAATGGTATATAGTAAGTCATAGAATCACAGCATCTATGAGTTAGAAGAGATTTCCTAGGTCATCTGAATGAACCCCTCACCAAACTCAGAGAACCCATCAAGTACAGCGATCCCATGCTTGTACTCAGCCCTACCCCCATACACATACGTTAGAAGAGATGCTGTAGGTAGCTACACAGATAGTAGTGAAAAACTCATAGTGAAGGAACAGACAAGGGCAGAAATTATAAAAAGTTCTCATAAGAACTCAAAACTTGGGAACTCACAGAAGACACATGACAAGGAAAGACCAAAAAGTAATGTCTGATCAGTCACTGAAAGGAGAGAAGAGAAATGTGAGTTGTGGTTGTGAATTTGATTTCTTTAGAAGACCCCACAGATAACAGCAGAGGGTAGCTGTTTGCGATAGGAAACTGGCAGGAACATACTAATTGCAGGTGAAAGACTCTTGAACATGTAGTACCTGGTGCCAGGTGAGAAAGAAAGGTAGAAAGTTCACTTTGAAGCTTTGTGCCAAAACACTTGGCAGTTAGAGTTAGTAAGGAAAAAAATAAAAAGAAAGAGCTGAGGGTTTCGGTTTCAGAAATACGGAGGGCAAAAGTAGCGACTTGCAGAGACTGCTACATTTGTGTTCCTTCCAATGACACATGTTCAGAATGTAAATTGGTTGCCCTGCTAGAGACAGTGAAGGGGCAAGAGGAACAATTCCTCTTGGAATTGGATGCTCCTCTTTAGCTTATCAGGGAGAAGTGAAGTATCCTTTTAAAGAATGGAAGAAATGCTTTACGAAGAAAAGAAAGAAAAGAAACTTGAAAAGGCAGGAAGAAAGAAGAAGAACAAAAACAAGAAGAAGAGAAGAAGGAAGAAGAGGAGGAGGATAACCTAGATGGAAAAGCAACTTTACATCACATCATATGAGGACTAGTTGAAGGAGCTGGGGATATTTGACCTAGAGAAGAAAAGGCTTAGGGGGATCATATTTGTTATAAGGGTTTTGTTTTTCTTTTATTTTAATGGGGCAGGGGGAACTGGGAGGAAGAGGAGATGGATTCTTGTTCACCGAAAAAAAAATTAAGTTTTTTTTCTTTTAAGAAAAAAAATAGAGAATAAAGTTTGAATTTCTGAAACACAGTTTGAGATATAGGAAGGGCAAATTGTTGGATAGTAAGCATCCTCTGTTGACTTAAAAAAAATCTTTGTTCATGTCCTGGGGGACAGAGTAGTCTGGTAAATAATGATTGTTCATTAGTAATTAATTATTCAGTTAATTAGATTTTTGTAGCCAGTCAAGCAGGCTAATTTACATACTTAAAAATTACTTCTTCCCAACAAAATCAGAACCCCCACAGGTGAGGTTCTATTTATTGGCCAATACCAAGGAGCACAGAGCCAGCCTGCAGCTGTTACAGGTATCAGTTGCCAAGAAAAGGTGAGTTGGGATCTGGGATGCAGGAAGGTTGTTATATTGGGAACAAGGAAGAGAATTTCCCCAGATATAATGGCAGATCACAGTTGTAGCCACCTTGAATAAAAAGAGAACAGTTCTAAGCTTCTTAAGCTGAGGGTAGGATAATATAGGGTATGGCTACAGAGTAGTTTATATTAAAATAACCTAGGAGTTTTAGTGGCCTAAACTCTCAAATATGGCAATCAAAGAAAAAAAAAACTGGGAGGGAAGGAAAACAAGAAGGGAGGAAGGAAAAAAGAAAGAAAGGAAGGGAGAGAGGAAGGAAGGAAAGAAAAGGAAGGAAGAAAAGAAGGAAAAAATATTTATTAAGCACTTTCCATGTCTCAAATACTGTGCACTGGCAATACAAAATTTAAAATCTAGACAGTTCACTCTCAAAGAACTCACACTATAACTGGAGAATATAACACATGAAAGCAAGTTCAGCTAAAGACAGGGGTATGCTGGTAAAGATTTATCAACCTGGCTAGGATGGGGTGAGGTGCGTGTGGAAAAGTTGGAGAAATGTAAGTAGACACATACTTTTAAATTTAATCCACATTATTAACACTTTCTTAAGTCTAGCTGATCAACAAAACCATAAATCAAGCCCTAATTTGTAGCATGATTTCCGAGGTGTAAATGCTGACAGTAAAAAATTTAACAACCATCTCTCATTAGAGTGGGTTCCAGCACATCCCCTGGATTCAGAGTAGGTGGGAAGGCACAAAAGTCCTGAGTGTGTAGTAGGACGAGAAAGGCAAGATGACCTTATAGCATGCCGACAGACTAATCTTGTACAAGAGGAAAGAGGTAACAGTGCTACTATATTCTTCTCTGTTCACACAACATTTCCAGTATTGTGTTAATTTCTGGTGTCATATTTCAGGGAGACATTGATGAGCTAAATAGTATCCAGGGAGAAGACTCTCCAGGATGGTAAGGGGACTGAAAACTATGGCCATATGAGGATCTGTGGCTGCTCAGTATGGAAAAGATTTTTCAAAGGAAATGGGGAATAACCAGCTATCTTACAGGATGAGCTGAAGGAACTTGAGGATGCTTTAGCTATTTTGGCTCATGATTTTATCATAAGCAAATATGGCTTTCTTCATCTATAAAATGGAGGCAAATAATAAATTGGGGTGGGGGAGGTAAAAAGAGAGAATAGCTGATGAAATTGTTTAATGTCCCCATGTCAAACTCTGCATACATTTTGCAGTGGATAGAGCTTGGAACCAGAAGACTCATCTTCATGAGTTCAAATCAAGTCTCAGAAACTTACTAACTTTGTGACCCTGGGCAAGTTACAACCCTGTTTGCCTCAGTTTCCTTATCTGTAAAAGGACTGGAGAAGGAAATGACAAACCACTCCAGCGTCTTTGCCAAGAAAACCCCAAATGGAGTCACAAAAAATCAGACACAACTGAAAATGACTGAACAACAACATTATTTCAAATCAAATGAAAGTTGGATTTAAAACTGGTTGCAGGATCACATCCAAAGAATGGTGATTAATGGATCAATTTCACTCTGGAGAGAGGGTTAAAGTTCTCAGGATTTCTGAACAGACCTTATCCAGAACCCGCATCTTCAGACAGTAATAAGCCAAACCAATATTTTTAGTCTATGAAATGATTTCTAGATGTCAGACAACCTGTTTTCAAATTTTGCCTCACACGTGTGATCCTATACATCACTTTACGTCTCTGTGCCCCAGGCAACTCTATACATGACAGACAAATCCTGTGGCTGCTTTCTATATCAGCGGATGAATCTTCCACACTGGAATTTCCTCCACACCAATCAAATCATATGTCTAGACTTAAAAAAACAAAGTTTAAATCATGGGGAACCCCCTTAGATTTTTAGCAAGGAAAATACTTGACCAAATCTTTATTACATTCACTGGCAATCTAAAGCCTTCTGAAAATATTTTGATATTTTTGGCTGTGTCATTGACTAGCTCCCTTAAAGATAACATTTCCCAAATCTGTACTGACATCTAATTTTCTTGGCATGCTGGTGAGCAAATATTTCCACAACACTTGAAACATCTCAGCTTCTCTGAACAATCTCAAAAGTATCCAAATCCTGTGCAAAAAAATAATGGTTTCCTATCATATTTCAACTGGCCATCGTACTCTCAAAAAAGAGAATTCTCAGCTTGGCTTTCCTCAAAAACTAGATGAAAAGGTTAAAAAAAATACAGCTGGTGAATTCTGGATAACAGAGCACTAACCTACTAAATCTTTTGCCAATTGAAATAGTGCAAAGAATGAAATATAACTGAATTTTTAATTCAATCCAGCAAACATTTATTAATTAGTACCTTTCTCCCAGGGTTGTTGTGAGAATCAAATGAGATAATAATTGCAAAAGTCTTAGCACAATTTCTGGCACATAGTAAGCACTATAAAAATGTTAGCTATTATTATTGTTGGGGCAGTAAGGTAGTGCAGTGGATAGAGTGCTGGGCCTGGAGTCAAGGAAGACTCACCTTCATTGAGTTCAAATCTGGCCTAAGATACTTACTAGCTGTGTGACCCTGGGCAAGTCATTTAACCCTGTTTGCCTCAGTTTCCTCATCTGTAAAATGAGTTTAGAGAAGGAAACGGCAAACCATTATCGTATCTTTGCCAAGAAAACCACAAGTGAAGTCACAAAGAGTCAGACATGACTGAAACAACTGAACAACACCACAAAATTATTATTATTAATAATTTGTAGTAGGCAAGTTGCTGGGGATACGAGGGCAAAAATTAAACTAGCCCTTATGGAGCATATAAGGATAAGTTAGAGGTGAATGTTTCTTTTTTCATCTGATGCTTCAAATATTGTTAAACTATATGAAAAACCAAGACAGGAGCTCTAATAATGCTGTCTGTGCTTTGAAAGTGAGTCAACAGCTATTTCCTAGGAAAGGCAGAACATTTTAGACCCTTCACTATCTGGTTCCTCCCTCCCTTTTCCATTACATTTTGGATTATATTTTTTTTAAACACACTACAAACTGAGTTACTTCTTTCTTCTGGAAGAGTTAGAGATTTCAGAGAATGTAACAACCTGACCTGAGCCCTAAAGGAAGAATGGATTCTGAGAATGGGAATTGAGAAGCCAACATCTGCATGGGAGGTAACTTGTATGAATACACACAGGTGAGAGAAGGCTAGCCTTTCTGTAGACCAAAGGACAGAACGGCTCATCCCCTCAGCCAATAGTTAGAAGTTTCCTGTACCCCATCAGTTAGCTTCATCCGAAAGCCGATATACTGTAATACCTAATCAGATGGCTTGGAAGTACTTTAGCCAGCAATTGGCAATAACCAACTCTATTGTTTAGTATAATTTCTTCACCAAACTCCCTCATTTGAACAGAGACTTTGTCATACCCACCTCATTTACCTTTAAAAAACTGATGGCATCTCCTATTTGTCTGGGGTGATTTGTTTCCTCTTGCCTAAGGCTGAACAATAGACCAAGGGTCCTAT